TTGGTGTTCACTAAAGGGTGAGTACATTATGAGAGCCATACATACCTCAAGTCGTGATAGAGATGACCGCGAATTGAATTGGTTTCCAGCGATGTGTTGATATTGTGTCCGCCGAGGGAGGGCTGCAAGAAATCTTTGGCCTGAAGGGTGATCTCTCCCGGCTCTACGTTAAACAGTATGTCATCCGTGTTGTCGTCAATATCTGGATCTGTCGATCGGATCTGGAAGTTATTTGACTGCACCTCCAGTTTCCCATCTCCTGTTCCCATGAATTCATACAAAATAGTGAATGAATTAAAAGTTTTGAAGTTTACAATTATTTATGTTAATTATATGCTAGTTAATTGTTCAGGGAAATGGATGCTAAAATATATTAATAGCAATTTAATGCAATATTAATGATACAGTATTAATGGGACTGGTATTCAGGGACTGACCTAATGATAGACTATTTTCCCAAATGTCGCTGTTTTTCAATACAATCTTCTCGTCGGTGAGTGAATCAAAAGTGAGGCTCTGCTTCGTGTCCATCGTTTTAATTTGTTTGGCATATTGGTGTTCACTAAAGGGTGAGTACATTATGAGAGCCATACATACCTCAAGTCGTGATAGAGATGACCGCGAATTGAATTGGTTTCCAGCGATGTGTTGATATTGTGTCCGCCGAGGGAGGGCTGCACGAAATCTTTGGCCTGAAGGGTGATCTCTCCCGGCTCTACGTTAAACAGTATGTCATCCGTGTTATCGTCAATATCTGGATCTGTCGATCGGATCTGGAAGTTATTTGACTGCACCTCCAGTTTCCCATCTCCTGTTCCCATGAATTCATACAAAATAGTGAATAAATTAAAAGTTTTGAAGTTTAAAATTATTTATGTAATTATGTTAATTATATGCTAGTTAATTGTTCAGGGAAATGGATGCTAAAATATATTAATAGCAATTTAATGCAATATTAATGATACAGTATTAATGGGACTGGTGTTCAGGGACTGACCTAATGATAGACTATTTTCCCAAATGTCGCTGTTTTTCAATACAATCTTCTCGTCGGTGAGTGAATCAAAAGTGAGGCTCTGCTTCGTGTCCATCGTTTTAATTTGTTTGGCATATAAAGTGCCGTCAATTGTCACATCCCTGTCCACGTGAATGCCCTTCTTTGTCAACACCACTGAACCAAATCCTAAACCAGTCTATAAAATGGCAAATATTTGAATTCAAATAAGATTTAACAGGATATTTGGTGAAAAACATGATTTACTTTTTAGTGCATTGTTTGAAGTGTTATGTAGATTTAAAACACTCGGAATATTCTTTAAATATTTATTTAGGAATTTATATAAAATTATTTCATATTGAAATATATGGATATTTTGAAAATTTGAATTATTTTGACTATAAATATTTAATTTACAAATAATTTTTATCATAATAATGTCTATTGACAAATATTATATAGTTTATTATTTGAGAGGGAGTAGAGAGAGAGAGAGAGAGAGAGAGAGCGAGAGAGAA